TTTTTACAACATCAAAATATATCAAAGAATGTGATATGATTTACATTTTCCTGAGTATTCTAGTTATAGTCATTAGTTGAATTTCAAATTTCTATATATAAGTCTTCTATATTTTTGTTTTAATTGTGGAGAGCATGCTTAAGATTTTATTTTTCATTGCTGCTGCTTTTCATTTTTTGTCTCTTTTCCAGCTGCTTTTTGCTTTCTTTAATGCTTGTATCGTTGACATTGAAAGAAAAATTTAGTTTAGGTTATATTGCTTTTGAAAAGTCACGTCCTCAAAAAGTTATATAGGTCAGAGATTCTTGATGTTCATCGTGTCCTTTATCTCAATTTTATACATAGTTCCTAGCATTCTGGGGTTTTTACTATGTAATGTTCTATTTGTTATTTTGTTGGGGATAGCATTTTAAAGATACATATTTAAAATTTTTTTAAGTTTCTTTATTTTGAGAGAGCAAGAGCAGGGGAAGGGCAGAGAGAATCTCTCCGCGCTGACAGTGCTTTGAAGTAGGCCTAGAAGTCACGAACTGTGAGATCATGACCTGAGCGAAATCAAGAGTTGGATGCTTAACTGTCTGAGCCACCAAGGGGCCCCAAATTGTTTTAAGTTTATTTATTTTGGGAGGAGGGAAGGGCAGAGAGAGAAGAATCACAAACAGGCTTTGTGCTTTCAGTGCAGAGCCTGATGCTTATAACGCAGGATTCAAACTCACGAAGCCATGAGATCATGACCCGAGCTGAAATCAAGAGTTAGATGCTTAACCAACTGTGCTACCCAGGCACCCCTAGAGATATTTCAGCACGTTTTAGATGTGGTATACTGCCTTGTCGCTTATTGATATTTTAAATTATAGTTAATAGTTTCGCATATAATCATATAAAGGTGAGTCTTCCGTGTTTGCATATCTGTGGGAAGAAGAGAAATCTACTTCTGAGAGATTTTGTTCTGAGAAATATGGGTTCTGGGCCACATGAATGGTGAATAGGAAGAGAGAAAAAATCCCTAGCAGTTGGATTAGAATTACAAGGTGGACAGAAGTTGTGAAACTTAAAGTCATAAAGCCCTCTCTTGCCTTGTGCAGACAAATGTGACCTTTTTAATATAGTGTCCCCTGACTCCCAAGATTTTGGCAAAGACACAACCCTGCCATTTTGGGTCTTGAGTGTATAGTGATCTAACGTCACCTTGTGACTTTGAATGTTCAGAAATATTTTGAGGAGTGTTGACTGAGTCCTGCATTAAATGGACAAAGTTTCATATAGAACTGGCCATTAGGGGTACCTTATCCATAGAATCTAATTTGGGGATTAGAACATGTTTCCTAACTGTTCATCAGAGCCCAAGTACGTTTTAAGAACTGAGTTTCAGAAAATTTTTTTTATGTTTATTTATTTATTTTGAGAGAAAGAGAGCGAGCAGGGGAGGGGCAGAAAGGGAGAGAGAGAATCCCAAGCAGGCTCCCCTCCAGACTCCGGGCTCAGTTTCAGACTTGGAGATAAATAACCTGATCCTATCAGTGACCTGTACTGATAATCTGGAGTAGAATGTAACTGACTGTGCCACCCAGGTGCCTCCTGGTGGTCCAATTCTTAATCTATTTAATCTCATGCCTGAAGCGTGTTAGTAATTAGAATAGGTGTCTAGAGTTGTATTTTTTTCTTAAAGCTTATGGAAAATGTGCATCCAAACAAAGTTGATGTTGGTGTGGAAGTAAAGTGGTGATGGGATTGGAAAAAGATGAATAAATATTGACTTTTATTTTTATTTAAAAATATTTTGTTAAATGTTTTATTTATTTCTGAGAGAGGGGCAGTGTGAGCAGGGGAGGGTCAGAGAGAGAGGGAGACACAGAATCTGAAGCAGGCTCCAGGCTCTGAGCTAGCTGTCAGCACAGAGCCTGATGTGGGGCTTGAACCCATGTACTGTGAGATCATGATCTGAGTCGAAGTCGATGCTCAACCGACTGAGCCACCTAGGTGCCGCAGTATTGACTTTTAGATAGGATGAGAAAAGAGTTTTATTGTAATGAAGGGTAGAATTTCCCCAGTGGCTTGAATCTCTTATTTGAACGAATTCAATGTGTAAATTATACAGAAATCATAAAGATTACTTAATGAAACATTCTAGGCTTTGAAAATGGTTTGTGAAGGGCTAGAAAACTAGTGAAAGTTGAAAATATGACTCATTTCTGATGGCAAGATGTTTTACTGTCCTATTCGTGAACTTGGAAATTTTCAGTTTCCGAAGTCGTTACAGATATTACAGGTATTAATAAAGAGGTGATTTGTTGGTGACGAAACTGTGAAATAGTGACCAAAATGATTGCTCAAAGTGGATGTGTGGCTGAACCTATGAGAAATAGACTGGCTAGACTGTCATAGAATGGTCAGATAATCAGAAATGGAATGAAACTTAATTTTTAGCCTTGGGGAAGAAAAGAATAAAAAATATCTCCAAAATTGCGTGGCTGGAGCTGCTGTAATGCTCTTAAAAGGAATGTATTCCAAGTTTTAGGCCTCAGATGACGATATTTGCATTGAAATGTCTCAGAGTACACAAGTAAAGCAGGTATTAGACATTTGAAGCTGGAGTGAGATCAGGACCAAATGCAAAATCATACAGTTAATTGAGTAGCAAACGTGAGAGGAGTGCACTGATCTTAGATTTATTGGTTACCTACATTCTGTGATTGGTGAGTCTGCATTATTAAAATGTTTTTGTATTGAAGCACTACTGTTACTCTCTCCTTTTCAAGAATTTGTATCTTCAGTTTCAAAAATTTTCTGTAGTACTGATCTGCTTGCTTTTCAGTTTTTCGACTGTCAGTTTGTTTTGGTTTGCTAGCTTGCTTGGAATTATGTGTGATAATAGAGTAAGCATTCGGTATTAGTAATTGTTGGTTTTTTAAATTACTGACGTTTCCTCTTCCGTCTGTTTTGTAAATTTCTAAAAAATTTTTGGAAAGTTTTCTCTTTATTGTCTTTATTCTTGTCCGTTTATGCTTTAAAATTCCTTTAGTATTATTTACTGGACTTTGGGAGAAAGATGAGGTCAACTGGATGTGGTAATTTCTGCCTTGTTTTAACCAGGTACTGCAAGTGTTTTCTTTATTTAGCTAGGTTTTAGTGGACGTTATGGAATCTAGTGTGATAAAAATGTTTTAGAAAATTATTTACTTAATATCTTGTGGTTCAAAGTATGTGTGTAAGCATGTTACTAAGGTTGAGAACTTTGCAGTTTTGTGTGACAGTAATATAAAGTATCATTTAATGTCAGTTGTAATCCTACAAGTGCCAAGGACTGCTTTCCCAAGGGAGGAAGTATTTGAACCATTATCCTGCACCTAAGTCCTTTGCTCTCTTGAATGTTCTCTGATAGTTTCTTTCAGTTGCATCAATCAGATGGAGATAGATTAAAGATATTAAACTAGAAAATGACTAGTGATTTTTATTGAGAATCTTTATACTCATTCCAAAATGGTTTTGCGGCAGTGTATTTACTGTAGCCCAATTTTTTTTTTAAGGGAGATGGGAAGTTGGTAGGAAAAATGAGATTAAATTAATGGGAGGTTGCTCTTCAGAATGAAGTCATGCTTTTTCCTAACAGTGGATTATAATTTAATATTTATAATGTTCATAATTTCACCAAGTACTGTGGTGAATAGTAAATGTTTTAAATTCTTATAATTCCATGAAGAATGATGCATAATGAACCATTAGGTTAAATTTATGCTTAAGAATGGGTAGGTGCTACTGCTAGGAATTTACCTAAGGGATACAATAGTGCTGATGCATAGGGACACATGTACCCCAGTGTTCATAGCAGCACTTTCAACAATAGCGAAATCATGGAAAGAGCCTAAATGTCCATCAACCGACGAATGGATCAAGAAGATGTGGTTTATATACACAATGGAATACTACATGACAATGAGAAAGAGTGAAATCTGGCCATTTGTGGCAACACGGATGGAGCTCGAGGGTGTTATGCTTAGTAAAGTCAGGCAGAGAAGGACAGATCCCATATGTTTTCACTCGTGGAACAGGAGAAACTTAACAGAGGACCATGGTGGAGGGGAAGGGGAAAAATTAGTTCAGGAGAGGGAGGCAGGCAAACCGTAAGAGACTCTTAAATACTGAGAACAAACTGAGGGTTGATGGGGGTGGGGGAGAGGGGAAAAGGGGGTGATGGGCATGAAGGAGGGCACTTGTTGGGATGAGCACTGGATATTATATGGAAACCAACTTGACAATAAACTCTAAAAGAAAAAAAAGGGAAAAAAATGGGTAAGTGCTAGATCCTGGGATATGAACCCTGGCAGCCTGATTCTAGAGCCTGAACTCTTGCTAAAGATGCTAAATACTGAATAAATACTGAATAAAGATGTCAAATACTAAATACTGCCTCAATTTGAGTATTGACCAATACCTATGATGTTTCAGGGATGTACATTTGTTTCCTAATTCCAGGGTAAGTGGCACTATATAAAAACAGATTCTGATAGGTTAAGTAACTTCTGACATTATGTAATTCATAAATGATGGAGATGGAAATCAGACACATCTGTCTAATTCCAAGCTCTGTGTTCTTTTTGGTACTCCACATATTTATGTCTGATATAGGCTTTTAAAGTTACTGTACTTTAAAAAATGTTTTATCTTTATTACTTTTGAGAGAGAGAGGAAGCTTGAATGGGTGAGGGGCAGAGGGAGGGAGACAGAGGATCCAAAGCTGGGCTGACAGGAGAGAGTCTGAAGTGTGAGGCTCAAACTCATGAACTGTGAGACCTGAGCTGAAGTCCAGACATTTAACTGACTGAGCTACCCAGGTACCTCAGTCTAATTTTTTAAAGAGCATTTGATACCCGAAATGGAGATTGAACTCATGACCCTGAAATCAGGAGTTCCATGCTCTACTGACAAAGCCACTGAGGCACCTCAGTATAACGTTTAATTGAAAATTGATACGCTTTTGGTAATGTTTTTGTTTTTTGCAGGGATTTATCAAAGATGTTCATGAAGACTCCCTCACAGTTGTTTTTGAGAACAAGTAAGTTATTTTGTTTTTAACCGATACAGATCTTAATTTTAATGATTGGTTGTGCCAAATTGGTATTTGCTTTTGGGTAGTATTCCTGTTGCCAGTGAAAGTGATTTTGCTTTTGGTTGGAGAATCTTTGGTTGTTTGATCATTCTTACCAGTTGAAGTAATTCTAGTTTTTGATGACTCTTCACCGTTTTTCTGCCCACAATGCACTTGTCACTTTTTCCTTTGCCAAAACATAGGTGAGCACGTATCAGTAAATATTTTTTGTAAAAATAGGTGGCACAAATGGGATTATGCTATGCTTAATTCTTAAAATCCCAGTATGTTGAAATGATGTTGTAGAAGGTCTTTCAAATGGCTACTGGTAGTCAGAGTAAGTGGGCTTACTTACTCTGGGCTGCCTTTAATTTAAGCTGGATATTAATAAGGGGGTAATACCAGTTTTATAACTTCTAAGATTTAGGAAGAGTTATAAAGGAGTATTGTGTAATTGAAGGTCAGAAAAGAAATCTTTAACTTTCACTTTTAAGCTCCTTCTGGAAAAGCCTTAAAAGGTATCTGCTCAGCAGCTGTTTCATACAGAAACAAATATTGGGATGATTCCTGCAGCTGCCATTTAGACAGTAATGGTGAAAAGAAAGCACTCAAAAATCTTCCTCATCTCCTGATGTTTTGCACAGCATCTGCAGTTGGAAGCTATAGGAATTCATGTGCTGATGTACCTCCCAGGCATATGAATGACCTATTAGAACTTAGAGTTGGAAAGAATTTTTTACTTTTTCAGCACAAAAAAAAAGTCTGTTACGCAACAGCTAAATTTTTTTAAATGTTTATTTTGAGAAAGAGCACATGTGCGTGTGTGTGTGTGTGTGTGTGTGTGTGTGTGTGTGTGTGTCCAGAATCCCAAGTAGGCTCCACTCCCTCAGCACGGGGCTCCATCTCAATGAACTGTGAGATCATGACCTGAGCAGAAATCAAGAGTCGGATACTCAACGGATTGAGCCACCCAGGTGCCCCTAAATTTGTTCTAATACAATCCTATTTGCTACAAAGATTGAAAGTAAACTTTTTCCAGGTTTTAATACAGGTGTATGAATTCATTGCAGAAAGCATAAATTCTGTATAAGAAAATTAAAATTTTTTTATAAATCAGCTGTGCAAAATAATTGAGTTGTCTGTGTTTCTGTGAATATGTACACTAAAAAATGACACACTTAATATTTTATAATTTCTGAAATTCTGTTCCTTTGATAGGTCATATACTTGTAAAATTGAGAGAAGTTGATTGCGCTGCCGTTTATTGGCAGCAGTGTGGATGTCATGTTGTTTTAGTCTAAGTTATTACTATGAACTTAACCTACTTCATTTTCAGGATAACGTGTGTATTCCCTTAAGATGAGTAATTTGGATGGTGATATATAAGTATTATTAATGTTAATTTATAAACTTCAACAGTCTTGTAAAATCTGTTTTACCTCAACAAACTAACTACTTGGAAAAATATATGAATGAAGCTTGTTTTTCATTAGAGAAAGCTAAATGGTTAATTTGAAAAATATATACCATGAAGCATATAGACTGTATAGCTTCCATATAGGGGCTTTTAGGATAATCTATTTTAAAATTGTTAATTACTTTTCTGATCCTTCAGCTGGCAGCCCGAACGCCAGGTTCCATTTAATGAAGTTAGATTACCACCACCACCTGATATAAAAAAAGAAATTAGTGAAGGAGATGAAGTGGAGGTACGTATTTTATTTTCTTGTGTGCATTTTTTTTTAATATTCTTGTAGAAAAGTCTGTTTAGCTGATAGAGAATAAATCTAATTCCTTTTCTCTATTCTTTGTATTGTTAATTGGCTGTGTAATGTAGTAGGGCTTAAGTTTTGGAGCCAGAAGAGGGATTCATGTCTCAGCTTTGCCAGTTTTAGCTTTGTGGCCTAGATTAAATTTTTTACCACGAAAATGAAAATAATTTGGGAATTAAGAGTGATCATACATTTGAATTGGTTTGTATAAAATCTGACACTGTTGTGTGGTGTTGGTTGCTGTTTTCTTTTTGCTAATTAAAAATTTTCTTGTGCTTTTTTTTCCAGTATCTTTGTAATAATAGGTATCCTTTAATATGGTGATGGTTAATATCGTTGATATGTAACTGTGAAGTATTTAGCATATAGCACATTTCAGAAATGTCCAGAAAATTTTAAAAGTACGGGAAAACACAAAGGACTAAAGAGGAATTGGTGCAAGAGAACAAAACTTCTGTTAACCATTTTTGTCATTCTCAGGCTTGTTCTCACCTATTAAAAATAAAAGTGGGATCATATAAGTACTGCTTCTTTGTATATAGCTTTTTTACGCATAATAGATTTTGTATATCTTATCTTAAATATGTTAATGTTACTTAATATGCCTGATGTTACGTAAAGTGAAAGTTGGAAATAATTGTCAAATAGGGGTGGGAGTTTGTTGGAGATAGAAATCTGTTATTTTCAAGAAATTGATGTAATTCCTTTAAGTGCTCTAATATGCTAGATATATTTCTCATTGGGAATTGTTTTGATAATCCTGAAAGAGAATTTTCAGGTCTCCTGTGTACCTAGTTTATGTTGGGTGGGGGTAGGGGAGCTAGAGGTATAGGAGAACCTATACAGATGAAACAGCTGTCTCAGTGTTTTTATAAGTACTTACCAGCACATACTCTGTGCCAGGCAGTGGTCTGAGCACTTTGCACATGAACTCATTTACTTACTTGCTTTTTTCTCCTGTAATTTTTAATGGCAAATTTTGAGTTCCCATTAACTATAGGTGTTACATAGTAGGAAACCAAAGAATTGTGGCACTTTTTAACTCCTGACAGCCTGAAAGCATTTCGATTCTAAAATTCAGCCTAGATTTTAATTACTTGATCTAAGTTCACGGGGCCACTCTTGGTTTTAGTAAGTCAAGCTATGTTGTAACTTAATTGTGTCAGGGGACCATGAGCCTGCTCCCCTAAGTAGAGGTTTCGCTCACCTTTTTCTTTTATAGTTCACTTCCACCAAAAGTGGGTACTAAGAACTCTTTTTATAAGGAGATCTGTAACTGTAGTCTTGGTGTGGTGTATATTTGTGTCCTTTAGGGAAGTGTCCTAGATGGTATGGAAGACACAGGGGAACAAAGTGGCAAAGTGCTGAAAATTAAGGAATGTGAAATAGGATATTGGTGGGTACTATGAACTGTAGCAGTCATGCTAATTACTACTGTACATGTTCACTTGGAAGTTAGACTTCAGTGAAAATGTTTTTCTCAATACTGTATCCTTTCCTAATCAACATCTTGCTCTAGGGATGGATAAAAGAGCTTGATTTGTTTTCAGTTTTTAAATTTTATTTTTGTTTTAGAAGTTTTTTCTTTGGGAATTCTGGTGATGAGTCAGGAAAAACAAGGAATTACTTAGTTTTTGGAAATGTTCCAGAATGAGAAATGTGTGGTGGTCGATTCTGAGACTAGTGATTTTCATACTTTATAAATTGTTGTTCAGATAGTCTTTGATAGTGTAAAGGCTTAGAATAAAGGAAAAACTTGGTGGTGTGCTCACAGTGTTGTTACATTGTGCTTTCCCTGTCTCAGACTATGAAAGTTCCTATCCATTTCCTGGAGGATCTTTTTGGCTTGCCTCCCCAACTGTATACAAAATACTGGTGTAAGAGATTGAATGATTGGGAAATGGATGATTGCAGGGTATTTTATTTCACATTGTGTTTTATGGTTCATATGGTGAAATTTGTTCCTTAAATTGTGAGATTCGTTATCTGAAATTAAGATGTTCTTGTCATTTTTTCCACTTTTGAAAATTTATATAAGAAGTTTAAAATCGATTTTCCACCCATGGATTTGTTGGCGTTCTCCCCCCCCCCCCACCTCCGCTTTTTGACATCATTAGTTAGGAATCTGTCTATATGACCTGGGATGTTTAGGAATTATGGTTATTGGTGCCTTATATTTTCAACCAAATTTGTTTTTGAAAACTCAGCACCCTTTAAAAAAATTTTTTTTTTTTTTTTTAAATTTTTTTTTTCTAGGAGACAGCGTGAGCAGGGGAGGGTCAGAGAGAGAGGGAGTCACAAACTGAAACAGGCTCCAGGCTCTGAGCTGGCAGTCAGCACAGAGCCCGACGCGGGGCTCGAACCCACGAACCGCGAGTTTATGACCTAAGCGAAAGTCGGACGCTCAACCGACTAAGCCACCCAGGCACCCCTAAAAATTTTTTTTAATTCTAGTGTAGTTAATATACAATACAGTGTTAAAATAGTTCAGGCATACAGTATAGTGATTGAATAGTCTGTATATTACTCAGTGTTCATCAAGATAAGTGTACTCTTAATTCCCTTCACCTGTTTCACCCACCTACTTCCCCTCTGGTAACCATCTGTTTTCAGTAAGAATTTGTATTTTGGTTTGTCCCTCTTTTTTTTCCCCCCTTTTATTTCTTTAATTTTGCATATGAGTGAAATCATATGGCATTTGCCTTTCTCTGACTGGTTTATTTTGCTTAATGTTACACTCTCTACCTTTGTCCATGTCATTGCAGATGGCAAGGTTTCATTCTTTTTGATGGCTGAATAGTATTCAAATATGTAGTGTGTGTGTGTGTACACGGACTACGTTGTCTTTCTTCAGTCGATGCACATTTGGTTTGATGCACATTTTGATGCTTCCATAGTTGTAAATAATGATAAAGTTTAATATAAAAAATGAAATGATACAGAATTATATAAAGTGAAAAGCAAACCTTTTCTCTTTGTGGGTGTGCTTGTCTACCAAAGCTTAAATGTTATTTACCAGAGTTGTGTGTCTCTTCAGATTTTTTATTTGCATTTATAGATAAGTTTTTTTTTTTAAGTTACAGAAATTGGGAATACATTATATATTTGTGATTTCTGTATTCAGTTAGGATATAATTAGACCTTTTCATGTATGCATATACAGATTTACCTCATTCTTTCTAAGCACCTGCATAATATTTATTAAGATAGATGTATCATAATTAGAAGACATTGAAGTTATTGGCAGGTTTTTTGCTATTGCCAAAACATAAAACCCAGAGTTGATCAGTAAATCAGTTTCTGGTAGTTGATCAGTAAATTGGTAGTTGATCTGGTAGTTTCTGGTAGTATGGAATCTGAGTAGTTCAGTTGCTAAATTGAAGGCGTGTATATTTCAAATTTTTTACCAAAATGTACCAGTTTTGTCCCCCCAAAAGTGCATTTTGATTTACCCATTGCACATTTGCTGACACAGAATGGTGTTTGTTTCCTCATAGATTGGCTGGCTGTGTTGTTATTAATTGTAAAGTTTTATAAACCTGATAACAGGAAAGGGATGTCTTCTGAGTGTTCTTTTTATTTTTAATTTTTAACGATTTTATTTATTTCTGAGAGAGAGAGAGAGAGAGTGTGAGAAGGGGAGGGTCAGAGAGGAGGGAGACACAGAATCCAAAACAGGCTCCAGGCTCCAAACTGGCAGTCAGCACAGAGTTCGACGCGGGGCTCGAACCCACGAACCGTGAGATCATGACCTGAGCCGAAGTTGGCCACCCAACTGACTGAGCCATCCAGGCACCCCTTGAGTGTTCATTTCTTTGATCACTAGTGATATGGACCTTCTTTTAAATTAGTTTATTGGCTGTTATCCCTTTGTTCTATGAATTGTGTAAGGTTTTTTGTCCATGTAGATTTTGATAATAGGACAATTTTATATTTTATCTAAGTTTTTGAGTTATATAGTGTACTTTCTCCCAGTCAGTTAAAAAGTGTATTTTGCCACAAAGAATTTATAATTCATTCCAATCTGCCGATTTCTTTTTGATGTGGCCTTCAGGATACTCCTTTTAGTATTTCTACAGGTATAGTCTTTTTTTAAAGGAGTGTTTAGGTTTTTAACCTAACTTGATACTTTTCTCTAACTTATTACACAGTATGTTTTAGTATATTTATTTAAATCATCAGCCTTTGTTTCTTTCTGCCAGCACATATCATAAAGCAGTAATAATAGGTAATGCTTCTATAACACTAGTATGTATAATAATGTAAGTGGCTTTTTAAACAGGTTATCTCGGTTTGACATAGCAGTCTTTTGAGGATCTCTTCTACTAAACACTGTGAATACTTTATTACTCTTTTCTGGGTCGTATAGCCTGAAGGTTGGGAAGCTGAGAACCAGTTTCAGTTTTTGTCTTGAATGTATTTTTCTTTCTTTCTTTCTTTTTTTAATGTTTTATTTATTTCTAGGAGAGAGAGAGAGAGAGAGAGACAGCGTGAGCAGGGGAGGGTCAGAGAGAGAGGGAGATATAGACTCTGAAATATGCTCCAGGCTCCGAGCTGGCAGTCAGCACAGAGCCCGACGCGGGGCCTGAACCCACGAACCGCGAGATCATGACCTAAGTGAAAGTCGGATGCTTAACCGACTAAGCCACCCAGGCGCCCCTTGAATGTATTTTTCTAATATATTATGCTGTATTCACAGCGTGTTGTCAGTTTTGTGCCAGACTTGGACCTCCTGTTCTTTTGCACGTTTAGGAACTCTTCCTTTTTGAAGAAGGGAAAGATGGCTTTGATGTGGTCACCGGTAATGGATTTAGAACAAAAGTGATCCGGGAGAGAGATTTTTGTTGAGTTTTTCAGGCATTTGTTTAAAGTTGAGTCACCTGAAATTTTCATTCTTGTAGGTCAGGAATAGTTGAATATTGATAATTTTATATGGT